ACTTCTAAGGGGCCTAGAAAACTGGAAACATAGCCGACTACCTGGACAGGCTACGTTTGCTAGTCATTGCTGAATGGGCTGAGCAAGTATCTACAAACCTAGAGGACCTTCATATTTATCCATGCGATGCCAGCTATCCTGATGACATATGGCAGTCCTATACAGCTGAGTGCACCCTCGTGCCCAAGCGGAGCAAACTCGTCTATTGCTATCTTTCAGCATACCTTTCTTTCCTCTTCCCGTACTCTGTTGGCCCATTGGCATCATTCCATACTAACGCAGAGTTGCGGAATCGATGTTAGGCTCTCAGTAACACTTAATAGTGGCTTTGCGCGCTCTTGATATTTCGTCAGAAACTCAGCAGTACGTCTGCGGAGCTGAAGTACTGGGGCTGCAAGGATCGAGGATACGGAATGGCTAACTTTTGGTTGCAAACTGGCTCTGTTCTGCTTGTGCTGTTCTTCGCAGTTCGCATAAGGCCGGCAAACCTGAACTTGAGGGCAGGATTGTGTCAGATTGCTACTGCCTCTGCACAATTCGTCCCAGGAACCGAATAGAAAATTCAATTTTAAGTACATCCTTATCGTTACACATGCTGCGGTGTGTGAGGGGGCTGGGTTTGGCGTGACACCACCCCGTTCTCCACTAGTTATGGTCACTTGCCAGCTTCCAATCGGCGGGATCGGGCAGGCATCGCCCCAAACTCAGGCCCTTGAAGCGCCCCAGTATCCGCAGCAAAGAAGACATATTTATGCCTCCCCACGAGTGTGGCGTACATTTATGCTTCTGAAGGAGTGACACTGGAGCACAGATAATCAAAAAAATCAGCTTTCACAAGACAATCTAGCGATGATAACAACTGCCTCCATTATCTCATTTTCAGAGAAAAGTAAAAAAAAGAGCAACTGAGGCTTATCTATTGTAATTGTAACTGACATTTCTACTTGTTATCCCCCTATCTTTACTACATTCTTGTGGTCATTTGAACTATAGGTGGTTTTTTGCGCATTTGTAGACGAATAATGATTGCTCTTGATCATGAATGGTATCTGCACAAGCTGCCCATGGATTTTCAAAAGCGATTGAAACCGAGCCTTATAAAAGCGCTCGCCCGGGATGCAGGACATGACTACGCGCAGGGGATCGGGAGGTTTCTCACACACGCCTAGCTCGACGACCTTTGTCTTTGTCGGTCGGTGCCCATGTGTGACTCATGAAGCTTCTCTTTTGACGATCACCGGCGTCGAGTCACCGTCGAACAAGTGTACTCGCAGTGAGACGCATTGTCATACGTGCTTCCCCTCTCCATGTCATGCAAAGAGGGGGAGCCCCTATGACAACATAAAAAATGGAAGACATGCGACTTACCTATTTAAAAGTTAGAAAAATAACAGAGAGAGAACAAAAGAAGTCAGAACCATAATGGGTAGGTCTATAAGCAGTGACGTTTACTTACCTGAAAGCATGGTCCGCGGTCAGGTCCAGCATTTGAAAATGTGGCGTCGGGAAAGTAGGGTGGTCCACAACGGACATTCTTCTACCGGTTTCGCAACAAAAAATTGTAAGGGAGGGGCGCTATAGCGCAATATAGGTTCAGTGACGCCTCCTTTTTTCCAGTGACTCCGCCTCCAGACTCCGCCTTCAAGGCCCGCCTTTCAGTGAAAAACGAAGCTGCAGGACGAAAAAGCATGAAAAAGCAAAAAAAAACAGCATCGTTACTTGTACGGTCCTAGAGTTCTTATCGGGGAATATACAGTGCGGATGAGGGCCGATATTGAAGATGGAGGTAATTGGCCACGTACAACTGTGATCGGAATGGGGTTCTATTTAGAGGCAGTTGGCATGTTTTTTCCTGCTTTTTTTCTTCACTATCGAGTTACTCAGAACCTTGTCGTCTATATGCGAACCCTAGTCCACTATCTGTGATGGCGAATGAGCGAGGGTTGTACCTTCGAAGGGTATAAGCGTCCGTATAAGCCTAAAACATCTTTTCAAAGGTTCGTTTCTTGTAAGAGTAGTTAGTCTGGGTGACAGTTCAGACTGATAGATTTGTAAGGAAACGAGCTTCTTCATTCCAGGATGAGCTGGCTCTTATTCTTGAGCTAACTCTACTGATGCGCAGATTATAAAAGTCCAATTTTTCTCGTTCTTATTTATGTGACCTTGACGACTATAAAGCCTTATTTATCAGATACTTATGTACATGCCGAGCTCAGATTGTTTGTAAGCTCAACTGAGCCCCTAAGAGCTCAAAATTCAAGGTGTGATTCATCAGCTCAGTGCGTTTCAGAATTTGTTTTTCCTGTGATTGTTTTGGTGTATTCTTCGAGTTCGATGTTAGTGTGTGCCGGGAGTGTGTTAGTCTTGGCGCGGTCAGCACGTTATCTGCAAATGTGGAAGCTGACAAACGACCACAATTTGTGTAATACTTGCTTGCGCCGCGCCCAACCACATCTCCTTGCTAAGTCCTAGCACGCAGCGAGGAACAGAGTGCACGAGAAAGGGGCTGGAGGGTAGCGATACCCGTGTCAGCTTCATACTGTGCTGTCAATACACTCGCCTGAATTACCACACGGGCAGCCACATGCCTGTCCATAGCCAAATGCGCTACTTGTCCATCTTTTGGATGTCCCCTACTGCCGAAAGCTCGTTCTGATGCTAGAAATCGGCACTGATGCTCGTGCTGCACCATGACGATAGTGCGGGCGGTGTGTGAGGACAGCATTCAGATAATACTATCCTACAGGCTTGCTGTCGGGCACTTCCGAGCGAAGAAGGTGACACGCTACTGCAGACCATTCACCGCGCCCATGGCAAGGACATGGATCCGTAGAGGAAAATGTACAGCTCTTTTTTAAAGACACTTTCCGCGATCAAGAGTTACGAGTAGTAGGTGCTCATTCATGAACAAGTAGCCCATAATTAACTCCGGAGTAAAGAGAAACGGAAAACCTTCGGAACCTTCTGAATAGAGACACCCGTTGGACGTCGTCAAGTCCAATCAGCAGGATTCGACTTGCAACCAATTCCCGGCATAAGCCTAGGAATCCGCTCTACGACACTCCAGGCAACGCTGTGTACACGCAAGTCCGCTTGTAAGCCGTTGTCTTGCAGAGTGAAAGTAATCGTGGTTGCAATGGTTGCAATAATCACGCGTCTCTAGCTTCTTTATCTCGCCGTTTTGAGTGAAGAAAGTGGTATTTTCTCTGCGAATGAGGACAAATGCCATTTTGCGGACCACTTAATCACGGGAGCTGCCTTTATGGAGCTGAAAAAATTCACTGTTCATGCTATAACGAGTGGGTTACAAATGTTACACTCCAAACTCTTGACCAGCGCGCTATTGCACATCCTATCTTTCGAATCAGATCAGCTTTTCGTTAACACCCACAAGTGCATTAGCCCTGTTGTTGTGGCCTTCTATAACAGTGCCTAGAGTGCACCCGAACGCTGATTCCAAATTTGCTACATCAGACTTCCCAAACCTCGTACCATGCTTTCGATTCACTCTGAGCTCTCTTAAGTGCATGACGTTTTGGTAACACTCCAGGGCTGCGTTCTTACTTTGTGGCAGCGTCCACAAGCGTCTACCAGCGTCACCAGCGCTCACCAGCGATCGGGCTCCTCAGAGTATAGGGAAGTAGGAGTGTGGCAAACAGCTAGATTAGGCGTCGCAAATTTCGGCGTTGCAACCGTACCCTACAACTACACTACACCGACATTAAACTGTATATTTCTGCGCTTTACCAGTTGTGCGCTGCGGTGTTTTTATCCACCTGGACGAATCTGACACAAATCAGGTGTCCTAGAGGTTTGTTGGTCTGGCAGGAGCCGATCCGGTATTTCAACCTTGGATGGCGCGCGTGGTAAGCGTGCCACCAGGCACTACACCACTTCCGCATCAATAAACAACACTGAAAATTACACATGTTTGAATGACATTTTCATTTTTTCGGCAAAGAGTCAGACAATATAAACATGTGTATAAATGGAACCCATGAGATCTGGCCATAACTGAAAGCCGAATCTACGGTGCGATTAACAAAATGGCAGTGAATAAAGCAAATACAGCAAAAAAAATATAAACATATATTTTGTGGTCAAGATGAAACGTTGGAGGAATAGTTGACGATGTATTGAGGGAATAGATGAGGGGCAGTAGATTACAGTGGATGGCACACGACAGGGCGAAACGAGATGAAGATTGTACACGTGGTTGGCGGAAGGATTAGAAATACAAAAAAACAACGAAAATAAAAAAGTTTTCGGCTAGATCAATTTCTTACTCAGTAAGTACGGTAGCCTGGCGTATTGCCAATATTGGTCAAGGTAACTAGAGAAATTTAAGTGAAATCGGCAGCACATGAGTCGGTATGCATACGTGTCACAACTCATCCGCTACTAAATAATTATTCAGTTAATATACAATAAATTATCGATTATCATAATGGCAAATACTAAGTAATTGCCACTTTCAAAAGAAAGAAACGTTCATAGACCTGCACAAGCAGCGGTATCGAAACATAATGACACTGATTGATTAACGGTAGATATATTAACAACAATCAAAACGAAGCAATAAAAGAGGCTCATAGACAATTAAAATTCTCAAGAAATAAATTAATAATAAAATTCGCACCATGAAACAGCAACCGGGTCGAGTTTGCCAGCAAATATGTCAAACCCAAATTTATAAGAAATCTGATAAATAATTCTATCTAACATATATACTCTAGCGTAGCGTTAAACAACAGCCCATCGCTCTTGATCGTCTGAATCCGAGTCACTCAACGGTATTGCACCGGACTGAGCTTGAATAATTCTGGTCCGTGGGCCGGTGTCGTGGGCGTATACCACTGAAGGATATCTGGACGGTGATGAACGATTGTATCCGTGACCATGATATACCTGAAAAGAAGACTAGTTTTTGGAAGACACAATCCACCTTGACCATCTGGGCGGAGACAGTCAACCACTGCGCATTTTCTTCATGTACGATCTTTTATCTTCACAGTCATGAGAGAAGAGGCGTTCCAAGTGCAGTACTACCTCTGCCCACGTGAGAAGCGCCAAGCGTGCCTTCAACACTGATGACAATATGGGCCACCGGTGGGTGGTAATTTTTTTGCACTACTTTCAGAGTTATTGCCGTTGGTATTTATAATGTGAGGGTGCAAACTGCTCGGTGCAGGTAAAAACCAAGAAGAAGGTGAAAAAGGTCGAAGTTCGGCCAAAAAGTGGGCGTGGTCGAGGACGGGGCGTTTCGGTATGCAAAGCTGGCAGCGGGATGTAGGGTAGAACGCCATTTTTTGCCTCGACGATTGCTGGCCAATCGGGCGAGACCCATGCAATTGTACGGACCAGGTCCTGCTCCCTTCACTTTACCTAGCTTTGGCCAGGTGAAAATAATTAGCGTTTCGCACTCCACATCCCGATGGTGGAGAGGGCGTGCCCACGTATGTAGTTGTTAGCTGCGGGTCTGTGAACAGTTGTCGGTTCCGGCGGAGAAGGGTAAAAACCGTGTAGATTTTATCTTGTGCCGTTAGCTCTCTCTCTCTCTCTCTCTCTCTCTCTCTCTCTCTCTCTCTCTCTTCTCTCTCTCTCTTTACGTAGACTTCTGTCCACGCCTCTCTCTCTTACGTAGACTCTGTCCACGCCTCTAGCTGAACAGGCAGCTGTCTAGTGCCGCTACGTTGGCAGCAAACTCACAGACACGCCCTCTGCAGCTCCGTGATATGGACTATGCTATATGGAAAAACACTAGAAGTTTTAACTAAAATCCAAGGAAAACGAATTCTTGACCTCACGAAAAATCAGTAAAAAGTACTGCACACACAACTTACGTCATTGCCAGCCGGACTGGGCGATGGAATATCGTAGTAGTTCTCTCTGGGTGGGTAGTAGTCCTGGTGATGTGGTCGCACTGGCGATACAACGGATGGTGGACGATATGGCGGTGATGCAAATTGACCTGCTGATGGATGGGGACCATTCGGTGGAAAACCTTAAAGAGTGGGTACGATGGCTGGGGGTAGGCGCTTGCTGGCAACGTCATTGGTGGAAGGGCTGAGAGATGTGGCCAAAGCCTTCTCGCCCCTTCCACCGATGAAATTGGCAGCAAGCTCCCACCCTTGGCTATGCCTCTGAGGCCGACGAGAAATACAAACTACAAGAAAAAAGGCAAGAAGTAATCCCTGAATACCTGGATATGATGGCTGAGCATAAGGAGCTGATCGCAGTTCACTACCGCTTACGGGTGGTATTGAGCCAATCAGGGGTAAGCGACGTTGCCTTACTGAATTCGGCACCGTCTCACCGTCGTCTTCGCTAATTTCTTGAGGAGTCGAGTCTGGAAATTCAATTAGAAATCAAAAAAGGAAAAAAAATTGAATTTTTCAAGAACTTGTCGGAATGAGGGAGCGGAATTAGGAGAGAAAGGTCACCCCTGCGCCTTACGAGACGACATCCAACATACCTTCGAACGGTGGTGGGGTATAAGAAGGAGATGGAAGGAGGGGACGGAGAGTTCAGGGACCTCCGATCAACTGTCGGGAGTAGCAAAAACCCTCTGAAATGAGATGGCAAGAACGACTTGGTGGCGTAATGAATCGTCAGAGTGAGGAGCGAGTTCAAAACTCGCCTGGATTCTGGCTTTACCCATAACTCAGTATACTGGGGATAACAAGCGGAAACTGTAGAAATGCCACGTTGCCAGCTAGACAAGGGAAGAAAAATTGGGGCAAGGTATATCAGCGGAAAAATAGAAAAAAAATCAGCAATTGTAAAAAGCCCGCGCCCCGCAAGATGTGGATTCAGTCACACCTAACTGAAGAACGCGAGATTTCTCTTATGCGAGGGAGATAGTGTGTTAATAAAAAGCACATTCTACACAGGAGGACAGGGGAGCAGGGCGCGGGCGAAACCGGGCTTACCACCGCGTCCTCCCTAATGGTGCACCTCTTCTTTGTGAGACGATGAACAAGAGAAGTACACCAATGAGGAGGGCGAAATGGTAAGCCAGCTCCGCCCGTGCGGCTAGCGCGGAATAAGGATGTAAGGTTTTATTCTAGACGCTAGTTGATTGAGGCATGTAAGGTAAGCATATGGCCACCATAATTTCTCGGAGATAGGAGTAGTCAATGTGGAGAAGATTCAGAAGCTGCGGGAAGCTTCCAGTCCAAAAGTGTTTCTCTGGGATGCGGCTTGTTTAAGCCCCTACCGAGAGATGCTCCCACATTTGTCGAAAAGGAGGAGCTGAGTGCGACTCCCGCTGGGGACCCTTGATGGGTCGCCGACAGCCAGAGAAACAGCAAGAAAAGCGAACAATAGGAGTGGTAATACTGAATCTGCCCAGCAATCCCACCAGCGATGCTCCTAAACGCTTGCTCAACACTTTGTTACGGAATGGAGTTGAAATGAAAACATGTTTTCAAAAATAATTTGACATCTTGAAAAAAATCAAAAGCCTGCTTACTTACCGTGATATCTAGAATATCCGTGCCGTCGATAACTGCTGGATACACTGTCTTCAGAGTAAGGACTCCGAGAGTAGTGCTGTGGAGAGTACGAGGAATAACCAGTCCGCAATGGGCGTGAATAATAAAGTTGAGCTGGACGAGGTCGTCGAAGAGCTGGATCCCGTACGGACATGGCATAATCAGAGGAGGATGGAGGAGAGTCTAAACAGAAAATATGGATTTTATGTGCATGGTAGTATTCTAAATATTCTAAATTCATACTAGATCTGAAGCGAGGTGGATATCGCTCAGCCGGACTAGGAGGGCTCATATTTCTTCCATGCACACTAGAATAGCGTGGCGATGGCGTTCGTGAACGTTGTGACGGTAACAGCTGTTCGGTCTGAACACTTGGAATTTACTAGTAAATAAAAATGGGAAAGTGAAGGGGTAATACGCTCACACGACTACAATCAATTCGAATTTCTATGACTCGTCGTAACTCCAGATGCTCAGCTGGCATCACACCAGAGGCCGCCCTAGAACCCGACACGGAACACCTTAAAGTCCGGAAATCCACAAGAAGGTCCAGGTATCTGCTTGGGGAGGTGGGGAGGGGGGAGGGGGGAGTAATTTCGCACCGATGCTAGACCTATGCTAACCCGCAAATTCAAGAGGAAAGGAGCTTTGGGAAGGGCAAACAAGTCGTTACTTGTGAAGAATATGAATGGCCAAGGTGGTTTAGCCACCCCAGGGCTTCGGACCCTCCTTTGAAAATTTGAAGTTGGTTGGCAATGAGGCAAAATTGTAGATTGGACCATCGAGACACATAGCGCTGAAGGCTCATATGCAAACCTTCGTTATTGTAGGTTCCTGTTAGCAGTAAAGTGCTCATTATCGCTGAAAACTCCTAAACTGGGGTGCAAATCATTAAGGGTCAAGCATAGGGCTACTCGAAACCACCGATACCCACTCTCAGTTTCCGTCCCCAGACGTCTTCAAGGCCGGACCTCCCCCTCTCGCGATATATTTGAAACAACGTTTCGAGAGAGTCATCAAAATTCGAATCGGCTATGGGCTTTGATGAGATAGCTTTTCACTGGACAATTACATTGTAAAGCAAAATTCAGCAGAAAATGCAGGTCCATTTATGAAGCGCAAATCTACTAGGTAATGGTTGAATTCGTGATGTTGTAGCTCCAACCAGAGGATCGCTAATCTGCGGCAACGCAGAAATGAAGCTGGCTCCAACAATGGCGCGTTTTATGTTCAGCCACGAGCGCGTGATTCGTCCATTTTGTCTCAAGGCGAATTTCGTGATGATCCTATGGGCGGGGACTCGTAACAACTGCACCTCTCCCATTGCCTCGCTCTTTCTTACAGTTATGGAAGCGGGTCACACCAATGACAAAGAACACAGTGATTTGAAAATCGCGTTTCTCCAACAACCAGTTGGTGCAGAACGTGCTCCTTGTGATGTGTGCCGATTAAACTATGTTAAATTACCTCTAAGTTAGAGCTGGAAAGAAACTTTACATTGTTTCACATGACACGCTATCCCATCAAAGCCCATTTTGCAGCTACTGCTAGGAACTATCATAAGCTACTCTCATACCTATTTGGTCAATAGGCAGTAATGAACATCATGATTATGAAACATATATACTTCAGGGAAAAACATGCAAATAAAGCGGATACAAAGAAATAGCGAAATGAAGCATGCATGCTGATGCGTAGTGTGGCACAGAAATTCGAACATTCTCGAATATAATCAAGCCATTTGACGTCTTTTCCGTATCCTTCAGTCCCGCCCACTGGCCACGGCAACGCCCTAATGGCGCGGTTATTTCGCTGCTAACTCTCTCCATTCTGAATAATGCTCGTGAGGTGATAAGGATGTAAGAGCACAACACATGTGAACTGTAAAAACCACGCATTTCATGGCATTTATTCAATACAAGTGCCGGCTAGAATTGGGGCTTTTCCAGGCAGTTTTTGGTTGAGTTTTCTCTGCTTTTTGTTTTCCAGTTGTGCTATATTAGGTTTGTCGGAACAGTCTGCGGAACTCTATTGACATTGTTTTCGGTAATAAATTTTCACAGAGTCACTAAAGAATATCCATTTCCACATGGTATCACCATAAGACTAGGATTGTCACCTTTCTTTTGCACGTTTCTATTTCATTTTTAGGAACTTACAGGCACCTATGCTAAGAAAGAAGAGTGTGGAAGCCCTATTTGACGTTAGACGTCGATATTTTCGGGAATCTTTCGCCTTCTTAAGGACGGGTAGGCGGATCAAAAATGGTCTAGTGCTTAGAGCTGCGTAAAAACTTTGAATGCATAGCTGGGTATTGGCTTGATTTCTCGGATGCGCGATCCACGATCTTTTGGTCGTGGACGCTTGATCTAACTTGCGATCGATTGATTGTGAGCGGTTAGAGAAAAATTTGAGTATTTTTTGGAAGATTTCTCTCAAGCGTGACGTCATCCATGTTGTGAGGTTGGTTAGAGTACTGTAGTCCTTACCGTTATGCTAGTATCCAGAGATACCGCTTTGAAGTCCCACCAATAACCTACTGAAATCTTTATCCCATGCACATCTGCTTTTGGCTGTGCAATCTACTTTTCACTCTGAGAGTACTGCGAGGGACATGTGCAGTGTACGGCAGGACTCACCTCTCTTTACCAACCAAAGATTCACAATGTTCATCTGTGTGTAAAGGAAAAAAAAAACTCAAGCTCACGGTCATTCGGTCTGATTGTCAGAGGGGGACAATCATGACGGATAGATTTCCTTCGATAAAATTTTTTCCGATACGAGATTAGTCGAGTGTAGAAGATGGCGTTGTCGTTTAGATGGAGGCTTAGGAGGTTGCCATACGTGTGGATGGTCATGTTCGGCTGCGGCTCAGAAGCTTGGTAGGTGCCGTCTATCTGCCGTGGTGGCCGACGTATCATTGCCTTATTCGGTTGAAAGTCCCGCCTGGGCGTGATGTAGGATGGACTCTGTGCTATGGCGAGCATGTCGCCTCTCCCCTGCAGATCGGGCCCTAGTGCTTAGGCTGTCTCGAGCTGTATAGTTGTAGTGAGTGTGCCTACGGCATGACTCTCTCGGCGCTCTAGGCTCGAGAAGTCCAAGCTAACCTCTGTCTCGTGGGATACAGGTATTTTAAGCTTTTGAATTGTTTCCACCGGCAGCCTCTCGACCTATACCCATTTTCACCAGGCTTGGGAGACCAGCTTACGTCCTATAAGATCTCGACTTTGATAGCAACTATTCGAGATATGATTTATGGATCTGTTCTAGGATAGTTCATCATAATGGTGTGCAGCGACCTTTTTCGACAAACCCAATATCTTCAATATTTACACAACCCAGCTCACAATTTTCGAAAGCGGGGTGTGCTCTTAAAACCCAGAATTACAAAACCACCTACTTCTAAGCAGCCTTCCCTTGACATGCTGCGGACTGTGCGCCGCTGTGCAGTAAACTTGAACCAAAAAAATAGTGGGGGCCAAATGGGGATGGCGTATGCTGAGTGAAGCGAGAACAGAAAATTTCAGGCCTCGACATTCCCTTCACAAATGTCACCTGTGTGTGATGGAAACGATAGGGCGCGGTGTGGACGTGGCTTGGAGTGCAACCAGGACAGATTGATTCCCCAACAATTATATCGGGCTCAGAATGGCACTCGTGAGAAGAGAGGCTCCGGCTGCGCTGGAACCCGCGCCGCGTCACACGGCCTATCGCTTGCAGGGATCGTGGCTTTGAGTGATTACTTTCTGAACCACATTTTGTAACAATTCATCGGAAACTTGGAATTCGAAATGTAAAAAATCGTTATCCCACGCCCTTTCAGGGACTCCCAACAGAAGGACTTAGAAAAACGTCAGATGTCTAAGTTGTATTGATCGAATTTTTGACCACCAAACTAATCACGCTGTGATCTAGGCGTACCTCGTCATACTGTGAAGATCTCTCACGATAGTAGTTGAAGCGTGGTGCATACTGCTAGAAACGAAACCACATAGTGTGCATCAATGGATGCAAACCATTGTACTAGGTATTACTGTGTCACTTATTCTAAGAGTTCACTAATCAATATTTACTGGACTACTGTATTGATCTCCAACACAGAAAGTGTGTTAAAACTCAAAAATTGCCATAAACGCACGCGTTCAAGAAGTGTACAGACAGAAAATGAAGCAAAGTTAGGTAATTCGTGCATGAAATTAATTGATTGGGCTGTTGAAAAAGTACGAAACCAACCTGAGGAGGGTCGTGACCGCCACCACGACGAATCCGTGAGAACATGTCCGATAACCGCCGACCTGCTGTCGTGGATTTCGGCCTGAAAGTCGTGCCTCTCTTTGGGAAGCTTCCTTTGAAATCGGTATTTTGTGCGGTGCAATAACTAGGGGATGGAAGCCACAGCACAGCGGCCACTAAGGGTAATTTCATAAGGGAGTGAAAACCGGGAAGTGGCCGTGATGGTTGGTAAGAAAAGCTTGCCCTGGGCGAAGACTAGGACGTATAGCACCTTGCCGCTCATATCCTCATAGATGACCGTTCAGAAGTAAGCTTACCCCCGATACACTACTCAGAAAACAGTCCGCGATAGTCGTAGGCACGGGTGGAGACTTTCAAACATTTGGCTCTTTTACTGGTGCTCAGCTTCTTGTACGGTGATAGTGGGGACGGATGTGCCAATATGGGAGACACATTGAAGGTCTCTGCCCATGACCTTCGCCATATAAATGTAGAGACCAATTCACAAAATGATCAGCCAGGAGAATTAATGAAAGGAACGAGTTGAAAGGTTGTCTAGCACCATCTTTTTACACTCGACTCTGTCCTGGTCATTAAAGTTACAAGTTCAGTGTTGTCCTGCCAGGAATCTCATGTGTATTTAAGTTGAGTCTAAGCAGAAGAGGCTCGTGAGTTTTGGTTCCAAGGTTACAAAACTACTTGAGCAGTACTGCAACAGTTCGCTAACCAGGTCAGCTTTCAGCGTCTCACATCTTCCTCAAGTACTATTTCGATGCAAAGCACAGGCGCGTAGAAAGCTGGGTTTGGCGTGGCGCCAGCCTGTTTTCCAGGGTCTGCAGCGATCATTGTAGCTTCACCTCTTCAACTAGTGAACGGGCTGGTGTCGCACCAAACCCAGCCCCACTCATCCCCAGCCCTTGACACGCCCCATCACCAGCAGAGAACAAGACTTCATGAAAGAGCCCTCATCATCCGGACCGATGCCGTGACTTTGTCTCCAAACTACCTATTACGTGCTATACTACTGTGTAAGACCTACCTATTAAATATAATAACGAG